TTCAATGAAGAATTACATCCCCACAAACTGTTGGAATTCTTCAAGGCCAGATCATCTCTTATGCATTTATTTTTATAGAACTCTTCACATGGTTAGCATTTAAACTAGAGAGTTTCTATGTGAGCTAGGCTGAACATAGTTTTAGAGAATGGTCTAAAACAAGCTTCAGCTTCTCCCAACCTACAAGCTCCAAGAAGAAACTCAACCCCCATCTATTTAGGGCCAAATTTTCTTCCTATGTAATAATAGAATGGTAACTGAATCCACCAAACCAAGAACCAAATGGGCTTATTGGACTGAGCTAAGTTAAACGGGCTTATTGGACTGAGCTAAGTTAAACCTCATTATGAATATGAAGAAGCTAAAACTTGGTATTTTTGCCACGTTCTTTTCTAGGCAAACAAACAGAGCTTCAAAGCAATGAAGAAAGATTCATGAAGAGAAATAGAAATCCAACAAATAACAATACTTTGAAACAGAGCAAATCGTAAGCATCAAAGGTACTGCGTTAAAATGTTATATGAACCAAACGACGTCGAATTCATTATGCATATACAAATTCTCAGATTACAGCGCGAAAGGATAAAGTTTTGACCTTTGGTGTATCCAGCGTCGCTGCGAATGTCGAAGTCCTCCGAGTTCGCGAGAGAGAGAGAGAGAGAGACAAAGCGAGGGAGAGGAGTGGGGGCGGATTTATCGGGTATGTTTTTAAGAAGATTTCAAAGAACTAACGACCACGTTTCACTGATCAATCGAAGACAACCCACAACCTCAAATGTTAGGTCTTGGCCCGACTTGGTACTACCATGTAAGACTAGGCCCATAACCCATGAAAAATATGATATGGTTCATTACTTATAGCCCAATGAGGCTTTGATATGCAAACAAATTTTAGGCCTTGTGCTTGCCCTTTTTTCTTTTCTTCTTTTCCTTATAAAACCTAGGGATGTTACCGTTAGTGTTTTTTTCGGGGTCAAATTGTTACCGTTAGTTGTGAAGCCACATGTAGGTTTGAGATGACCTTTATCCCCAAAACTTGCATTACTATGTACTCCTCTAGGTTTTGTTTAGTGGGCTGGACTGAATGAGACTTCTCTAATGAAAATGAATTATAGTCTTTTCTGTTGTTTAATGAGTCTAAAATGCACTTCGGACTAGTTTAGACTCATACCCTATTGTGGATACTAATCCATCTGACGATGGTTTTATAAACCTAAGTGGAGCAATGGGTTTCAAAGACACTTTTTGAAACCAAAATTCGCCCAACTCCACAGAACTCTCCCATTATGATCTTCACACCAAGTTTGAGTCCCTTTGCCAGTTGAGCCTTCTATCAAAGGCAGCGGCAATGGAGGAAGACTTCAACCTCATCCATAAAGCAGATAGACGAGGCCCTAAATCACAACGCCGACCTAGTCAAAGTCATCGGATAAATTCTCAGCGAAAGAGACTCTCTTCACGATGAAATTCACAAGCTTGAAGCTTCTCTTAGAGGAAGGGAAGATGAGTTTGCATTAAAAATCAATGAGGAGTTGAAAATGAAGGAGGTGCTTGAAACTGAGGTTCGAGTTTCTAGGGAGACAACTTGCAAGGAAAGAAAGAGACGGTTCTTGTTGAAGTGCTTAAAAGCTACCCGCTCAGTAACGTTTTAAGGGGTGTTTTCATTTTCAGAAAACAAAAATGAGGCAAAAACACGTTCGGTAGCCAAAAAACAAAAAACACTGAGAATGTTTTCATAAAATGAAAACAAGTTCATGTGTACTTGTAGAAAACAGAAAAAGTTGTTTGCATTCTCATGGGAAACATTTTCATAAAAAGAACTCACATATTATTATTTCAAATTGTACTACCAGACACGTTTTCATTGTTTTTGTTTTTTGAAGATGTTTTCTAATTAATCTATCATACGTTCGTTTTCTTGTTTTCATTCTCTGAAAATATTCTAAGAAAACATTCTTCGAAAACGTTACCAGACGGGCCCTAAGCAACTTGGGTTTCTCAAAATTGGGTCCAATCTAGTGCGGCTTTAATGTGATGTACCAAACAACTCATAGGAGTCCAGCCCAATCAATACTCCAAGTAAAATCTTAACTCAGGCCATACAATTAAGATATTTGGACACTTCTTGGACCTTCCATAAAAGGTTTTTTACTCTGCCTTTACCGTTAGTCGTCGTACACATGTAATTCATAATTGTAGATGCCTATAGATCCCTTTATTATGCCAACATGATGCATCAATTAATGGCTATGAATCAATTACGTTTCACTAAACCTAACCCTAGTATTCTCCTTGCCCGATTACATATTTGCCTTCAAATGTTCAATGATTAAAAGTGCTTAAGACTTGTATGCTTATGTCCATTGCTAGCCCACTTCTTGAGATATGCACCACGGACTATGATGATTAATGCCTCGAGATCAAATTGTATGATCCAACTTTTCAAAATGAGAATGTCAATCTCGAAGCAAAATGTTGGACCACAGGTCAAACACATGTCATGATGTTTGGGAAAAACTCTTTCAGAGAAAGCAAAGATTTTGATTGGATGAACAAATCTCTTAAGTTTTAGATATGTTTACCCTGCCTGTAGTACATACTTTGTGTTCTGGTCAATCGCCATGGCCTCAACTCAAATGATCAGCTGGGTTTCATGATCATGTGCTCAAATCTTTTTCAAAGTCCAGAGAGAGAGCGTGCACTGCCAATTGGGTCTTTTTCCACGTGTTTGCTTGTTGCTTTGCACGGAGGATCACTAGGATCATGTGCATATCATGCACAGCATGATTAGCCTACTCTGCCCTACCCCTACATACATATTGCTCACCCATCTCCTCCTCCTCCTCCCTCACTGAACCTAATCTAACATATGCTTTGCTATGATGCCAAAATTCCCAAATGGAATCAAAAGCACAAGTGGTCCTAAATCTATATGACTTGTGCCCATCAGATGTCCATTTCAGAAAGTGATATATGTATATATACATATCTGAAGACTGTACTGTCATTAAAACTTACCCATTTGGTAATTTCCTTTGAAGCAAAATATTGTCTTACATATATATGAAGTCAAATTATATTTACCTTCTGTGTTTTGCCATTGTTAATGCATGCTACAGCTAAGCTATGATTCATTCGTACATTGAGTTGTATTAGATACGGGTACAGTTGGTGGGTGATGTTGGATGGGCATATTAATATACCAAATCTCTGTAACCTAACCACTACTTTCTCCACCACCCCCTGCAATTGCCTTGCCTGCCTTGCATAAATAGGAAAGATAGAAATGTCAAAGCAGGCTAGCACAAGCACTGCGGGAAGGAAAGATCTCGAAATTAATTCAGAAACCAACCGACTTTATTTATAACATGTAAGTTATAACCAAAGCAATCATGCTGCTCATCTACCTACTGATCAAAAAAGAAAAGAACACACCATTTTCAATTCCTGCTTCTTTATTGTAGCAAATCTTTGGGATATTGCATTCATCTTTTACACAACCCTCTCCGTGCTGTGGTTGTTGAGAACTTCCTTCTTACCCTCAATGGTTGGCTTGAGAAACGTAAAAGTCATCCCTGACACTAATTTTTTTGGTAAAGGACTAGAATTTATTAAAGTTGTAAATATTTTAATTTTTCTTCTTGTGCTAAGTTAGAAAAGTTGTAACATTATTTATGACATTCTTGGCATGGCATCTTTCCCTTGAAATTTGTCATGAAATTTGTGACATTTAGGCAAGTCTTTTCTATGATTCTCATGACAAGTCCAAAAAGTCGTTCTATGAATCCAATGCATCCCATTTTCCATTCAACCTTGTCACAGAAATCAACAATTTCTTTTTGAATATTTATCAGATGAAGAGATTACAAGTAGCTTCTCTTGTAGCATCTTCAAAGGAGATGTCAAATGCAAAATGTTAAATTTGAGTTTGATGGCTTATGTGGCAATTTGACATCTTGGAAAAAATTTAACTCCACCTAAAATGCCAAATATCATATTATTTTATTATATTTTTTTAAAAAAAATAAGACCCATATGATGCATAAAGTTTTAATATTTATCAGGTTAAAAAATAGATTACACGTAGGCTTCGAGAAATTGTCTCATTAATTGCATGTCCAAACAAATGCAAAGCAACTAACTAACAATTAACAGCATAGCATATACAATCATATGCCTTGACAAGCAAGGCAATATGTATAAATGCTCACCGCAAATGCTAAGATTAGTCTCATTCCTAAAACGTCTCCGTCATGGATGATTCCAACGCCGACACGCCATAAACTCAAAGTGTCGCAGCATATGCAAGCCGTTAAGTTTTGAAGAGTCATGTATGAATACGATTGCTTAAATTAATTATCATAATATTCTTCAGAGTTTTATAGATGCCGGCAGCCTTCCAATCTCCCAACCATTATTATCAAAGCTAACAGTCTCACAACCACATGGCTAACTAGGTCTTTTCTTCTTCTTCTTCTTGAACAAGAAAATATCCCAATGAACAAGAAAATTGAAATTTTGTATCCACTTAAATTGTGCTTCAAGCTAGTGCCTCCCACGTTAATTAAGGTGAGGAGGATGATCATTGGATTTGAACTTGAATGGGTTGTGAGCCACCTTCCTACTTCCTTGGTAGAAGTTGGCATTTGCCCTTTCCCTGGTCAATTTCCATCAAATTCTTTTTTTCTTCATTTTGTGTTAATAATATTCATTATTCATTGCAAGGTAAGTGATTAAGAGCAGTTATCGCTATAAATAACGTTATATGCTTGTATCAACTATGCACAAATACAAACGCATAGTGATTAAAAAAAATGCAATGTTAATTTGATTGCAAAAGATTAATTAAAGCATACTTGCTGATAATTTAAAAAAGAAAATTGAGATCTATAATAGTCAAAATCAGACTAATGAGTGACTATTAGTTGAATTAATTAAAAGTTTAACAAATGGGAAAGCCCAAAGTTGTTACCAAATTCCAAACTCTCAACTCAACAAGTCTATAAATACATATTTAAATTTTAAACCTTCTCATCACAAGTCTCTCACTCTCGTCCAACTGAGCCCACACCTTCTCAGCCATTTGCCATTTGCCACCACCTTCACTCTTCACTTCACCACCCTCCTCTTTTGGCTCTTTTAACTCTTCACAGGGCAGCTTCTCTCCCTTTTCCATCGCTTTCTGTCTCTACATGCTTTACCAAACCAAATGGGCAACCTCTGCGCCTGCCTCGCAACCCAACCCGTGAAGAAAAAACCCATAAAGCGCCTCCCCAACCCGCCACCGCAATCCAATACCAGCAACCGGTGGACCCGGATCCGATCCTCCAGAAAAGAGAAGCTCGACGACGCTTTGCTCCAAGAACAAGCTCTCGCCGCCGCGATTCTGTTCCAGCAGCACCAGCAGAACGGTTCTTTGCCCTTTGATCGCTCTGCTTCGCTGCGGTACCCGAATTCGAGCTCCAAGAAGAGCAGCAACGCCTTGCCCCGTAGCTCCAGCTCTCGGGCTCGCTCCCTCACCGACCCTCTTCTCCAGCCTCACCAGCTTGTTAACCAGGTTTGTGTTAATTGGTTTTGGCTAAATTTTGTTAATTTGGATTTAAAGGTTGGAACTTGGAGTGGTTGTGGAGTTAATTTGCTGTTTCCTCTTGTGGGTATTTTGCAATATAGCATTTGATTGTGGAAATTAATGAGATTCTAATTTTGTGATTATGATGATTGAATTTTTTTTCGAGTTTTTCTTGTTTTGTTTTTGGAAAGGAAATAATGATTGAAAGGTCTAGACTTGGTTTTAGGGTGGACTTCCATTTTGTTCATACTAACTGGTTTCTTGGGTTAATTTTTTTCTTCATCCCGAGGCGGTAATATTGGGCTGTAAATATTTGTTGTTCTACCTTGTTTGTATCATCTCTTCTCTTCTCACACGTGCACAAACTGACAAACACATGCATGTTTGTATCTGCATAGGTGTATGCCTCTATTTGTCTGGACGTATTTTTTGTTAAGGATATTGGACTTCTGTTTTAACTAAATTTCATATATTTGGAAATTTGTTTTTTCTGTTTGGATGAAATTTACATTTTAATGCATGCCGATGTTTATACATCATGTCGAGAACTGGACGTCATGACTACGCATTTAAATAAAGATAAAATTATCAAAGAGAATGATGGTGATGTTTACCATGTTGTTCTATGAAATTACTTTGTTGTGATTGCTCATATATGCTCCATTTTTTCACTGACAATTGATAGACAGCCACAAGATATAGAGGGAATTTGTAAAAGAACAAAAACAAAATTCCCATATTTTTTCAATTGTTGTATTGAATCGTTGATGAATTCTTTTGGTTCCTAACAAGTTTTTGTTTGGATAGGATGTAAAGCTTGATGATCTGGAAACCAACCATTTTGTCCTTGTACATGGAGGTGGCTTTGGTGCTTGGTGTTGGTATAAAACCATAGCACTTCTGGAGGAGGTTGGTTTTAAAGTTACTGCCATAGACTTGACTGGCTCTGGAATTCATTCATCTGATGCAAACAGTGTCACAAGTCTTTCTCAATATGTGAAGCCTCTTACTGATTTTCTTGAAAACCTTCCCGAGGGAAATAAGGTATATTCAATTGCTTTCCAATTATTTTGCTAATACCTAATCTTATTTGTGCTGCTGTTTTAGCTTGAATGGCATCTTATCAATAGTTCACTGCCAAATTTCACATAGATCAATTGCATTGTTGATCACAATAGTTTTGTTGTTGTCAAGTTTGTGACTTTGCACTCCTTTCAGACTGTATAACTAGCTAATTTTTTAATGTTATTTATATAAACAAAACTAAATCATCTTTGCTTGCACTTCAAAAATATGATAATGCTGCACAATGATAAGATAAACCTGATGCACAGGTCAAATTATCTACACATATGGAATGTATTATTTACTTTCGGAAATGTATTTTATAGAGCTGTATGTGGTAATAGTTACTTGATGAAATGTCAACAGATAATGTTCATGTAGCTGTTAGCGTATTGGTGGGGTGGGGGTGTGTGTGTGTGTGTATCTTAGGAGAATTATTTGCTTTTGCCTTTCAAGTATTTTGGATTCATACTTGAGCTAAATTTATTGATTGGTACATAGACTAATATAATTATTGAGTATATAACTTCCTCTCTGTTTCTATCTTTTGTTCTTTTTGTATTATGCAGGTAATCTTGGTGGGTCATGATTTTGGTGGTGCATGTATATCATACGCAATGGAGTTGTTTCCACATAAAGTTTCAAAGGCCATTTTTATTGCTGCAGCAATGTTGAAAAATGGACAAAGTACTCTTGAAATGTTCTCCCAACAGGTTTTCCCTCAGCCTTTTATCTTTTAATTTGATAATCTATAATTTGCACTAATGTGAATGAATTTCAAAAACTGAAATTTGATAATGTATTTCTTATCGCTTATAAAGAATATTAAATAGAAATATAATCTTACTAGAATTAGGAACCTTAAATATGCTTGGATGGATGTGATTAGCATTGTATTAGTCTACTTTTTGTGAATTCACGGCTCTGAGGGTCTTAGAGGGATGGGCTTCTGTGAGTGCTGAAGTCCGAGTCAAGAGTACCATAATTCTATAAGCTTTGTACAAGTTGATTGAGTGACTAAGGCTTAAAATTATTGCAGGCCACTTCAGATGATCTTATGCGACAGGCTCAGATATTTTTGTATGCAAATGGGAATAATCAGCCTCCAACTGCTATTGATTTAGATAAATCAATGTTAAAGGATTTGTTATTCAACCAAAGTCCTGCCAAGGTATGTTTCTCTTCTTTTAATATGCTAAACTACAAATGATGATTTTCCATTTTTCCAGATCAGTTTGGCTTATTTCTTTTTGCTTCTCTTGGTCTAGGATGTCGCATTGGCATCTGTTTCGATGAGGCCAATTCCCTTTGCCCCAGTTCTGGAGAAGCTTTCACTTTCGGATTTGAAATATGGATCGGTGAGGCGGTTTTATATAGAAACATCAGAAGACAATGCCATACCCATCACAGTCCAGGAGAGCATGACAAAAGAAAGCCCTCCTGAACAAGTCCTACGCTTGAAGGGTGCCGATCATTCACCTTTTTTCTCAAAGCCCCAAGCCCTGCACAAGTTATTGGTGGAGATCTCAAAGATTTCTTCTACTTAGAAACACCTTTTCTTTTCTGGCTAGATGGCTTCTAGAGATCCAGCGACACGATAGAAATGCCACCGGAATCATCAGTAATTCATGCAGTTGCATTAGATAGGATGGCAAGTAAGCATGTAAATGCAGATAGGATTAAAGTTATGTGTTATCGGTGCTCGTTTTATTGCACATGAGAGTTATGTTCACATAAGATGTATTTTTGAGGTAATTTTCAAGGTTTGATGCACTTTTATCGCATGAGAGAATCATTGTTAGATGTTTACTTTGAGTGAACATGCAGCAAATCAACATAACATGTATTAACTTTCAAGCCAATACTTTTGCGTATAAGAGAAGGTTCGGGAGAGGCATTAACAAATCACTTCAAAATTTCCAGAATTCAACCATGAAGACGTGCTTGAAAGCAATGAGACAAATCCTTTTAGGTAAAGTGAGTTGGACATGTCCACCCTCACTACCATGGGGGCGCAACACTAAATCATTGATCCCAACCCACGCCACGTGTGATCTCCAACCAATATTGGCATGCCACCTCAGAAAATTGACCACGTCTCTTAAAAACAAAATCTAAAAACACAAACACGTACTCTCTCTTTCTTCGACTTCGAAAGAAAAAAGAAATTTACCCCCTCGCCTCCTTGTTTCTTTGGCAGTTGGCTCCAAAAGTTAGGCCCCAAGACGAAGCGAGAACAAAGTACGTTTATCTAAATAAATTTCTCTCTCTCTCTCTCTCTCTCTCATTTACGCTTCAATTTCAGATCCATTTTGTTATATATCTTTATTCTTTTGGGGATCAAAAGAATAGGGATCTTAAAATGTTTTATTGGTCACGATCTGATGCTTTTTTCTATACATGTTGTTCCTTCAAATTCTGAAGTCTTCGTTTCTGTTTCTGCAATTTCATGTATATTTCCTGGTTACATCGGCCAAATTATTCATGTAATGTTGTAATTATCGTCCATGTGATTTCTTAAGCTGGTCCTGGTGTACTTTCTTCTAATGTCCCCGTAATCTGTTGCCATCTAGTCCTTTTTCTTAAAGAAAATTGGACCAGCAAGCATTGTGGTAAATTAACCCTTGTTATATATATTTTAGCTGGGTTTTGTATATATGCTTCATCATTAACCCAATTGTAAATTACCCCGTTTTAATTTTCAACTACAGGTTTTCTTGTAATGAACTCTTACATGTTTTTGTTTTCAATGAATATTCGAGCGTAAATGTTCCCTTGCCTCCTTGAAATAACATGTGGGATTTGGATTCGTTGCTGAAAAAATAGGAAGAGAAATAAAAATGGGGCGTGGACGTGGAGTCAGCTGTGGTGGTGGACAAAGTTCTTTGGGCTATTTGTTTGGAGGTGGAGAGACTGCTAATGTTAACAAGACCCCATCAAAAAGAACTCAAAACCCAGTGAGGGCAGCAGGGGAGGCTCCTCCTCAGAATGAGACTGCTCCTGCTCCTGCTCCAGCTTCAGCTTCGTCACCGATTGATAAGCAGCAGATAGCAGCAGGCCTCCATGGCAAGCCTACAAACAATTACCACCGAGCTGAGGGCCAGAACTGCGGCAACTTCATCACGGTATAAAATCCTTCTTAATCTTAATTGCTCCACTTGGGTTGTGGTTTTTGTCAATGTATATAATGATGCATCAAAAGCTCAGGAGGGATATAATGTTTTTTGCATGCAGGATCGTCCATCTACCAAGGTTCACTCTGCTCCTGGTGGCGGATCATCGCTTGGTTACTTGTTTGGCAGTGGGAACTGAGTAGTCTTGCTTCTATTCTATGGAATTAATGCATCAGCAGCTGAATATTAAGCACGGATGTTACATACTTTTATGATAATATATATATTTATCTGTAATATAATTCAGAAATATCCATGTCTATATATATTCCAAAAACTGTGGCCTTCATTAAGTGATATGATCTGTGTTGTTTGTTTTATATAGTGGAAACTTCACACAAGAGTTCCCAAGCTTCAATTATATAGGCTTTCTTTTAGGTCTAACTTGGACATGCTCAAATTTTAAGGCTAAACGGATGGATTAGCTCAGTTGATGATGAGTTAGGATTAAGCAAAGTTCAGGATTTTGATTCCTTCTGATGTCACCAAAGTCGGTTATGATTGCAGGTTCGAACAAAGGAAGGTAAATTTGATCAAAGTTAGTTATGATTATAGGTTTGATCAAATTAAAGTTATAATAACCTACCCGAATTCACAACCTAGCAATATAATCGGAACGATTAAACTCGTTAAGTATCTTAAGTTGAGTTCTAGTATTTTCTACTGGCAAGTTGAGATTGAAGTTGTAACACTTTGTAGTTGAGAGTGTGTGTCTTTGCCTTCTACCGGCCTCCGAGGCTGCAAACAAGGTTCGTTTGGAACAGAGTGGAATCCAACGAGAATTACTTGTTTGTTTCAACCGTCGATTGATCCCAGCCGTCCACTGTTCCACGTGTCAGATTGCGCTATTGATTCTATTCTATACTAATTTTACTCCATATGGTCTTTGGTTGGATGCAGATGCATATGTTTTTTTGAAACCCAATTTATATACAAGACCCTGCTTTAAAAACAAGTGAAGGCCAAAAAAAACAAAAGTGAAGTCAAATACAAATAAACTAATAATGGAATTAAACAAGAGGAGGTAGACGTGCGTTAGGTCTGTTGGACATGGCAATAAGTCAATACCTTGCACTCAAATTCGAATTCTCATTCTCGTAAATTAGATTAATTTTATTTAAACTATAGTTTGTATATTATTAGTATGATTTATTTTTCAACTTTCAAGAAAAAAAGAGAGTATATGGTTTACAAATATAACAATAATGCATTAAGTTCAGCAAATAAAATTCATTTTAATCACATTTAGTTTCTCCAAAATTTGTAAATGTCCACAAATCCAAAAAAGAATTCTAAATTACTTTTGCTAAACCTTTCCTATTAAAAGAAAAATAGAGAAGAAGAAAAAAAGGATCCAGAATATAAATTCAACTCATAGATGATAATAGCCGTCTATTGTAGCGCATGAAACCCCAACGCACTTGGTTACGGTCCGATAGACTTAACCACATTAAGCCTCAGCTAGGGTTTTCGTCTCTCCCTCTCTCTCTGCTCTGTCTTTGCTGCAAAAGAAAAACTAGTTGCAGCTGCAGAGAGCTTGAACAATGACGACTATTTTGCCCACCTCGGAGGAAGATCCCGCTCTCTCCGTTGTCCGATTCACCTCAGAGCTCTCCTGGGCCGACGCTGGCCCTGAGGTACTCCTCTCTCCTTCTCCGCTCCATGTTCTCTCTGTAATTATCTCAATATGCCTGCTCGAGTTCTCTTCGGTCACAAATTAATCTCTTTTATCTCCAATTCGGTGGTCTAGTGGTTTTTGCTTAGCGTCTTAGATCGAGTAGTTGAACCAAATTTAGGGTTACTAGTATATAAATCTGTGATTAGAAACTGGATGATTTTTATTATTAAAATTTGTATTTCCGTCCATGGTGCTGGGAATGTGGTATTGAGTAAATCAAGGGGATAAGAATGAGGCTTCCTCTCGTTAGATATGTTATGTTATTTGCTTAATCCTAGAGCAGCTTATGTAATTTGTATATCAATAGTGTGCATATGTATATCACTTGTATGCACGGAAGTTGGTGAATTCCTTGGAGAAATTTATCTTTGCCATGATTATCTGCCAGGTTGCTGAGCCACAAGTCAGTAGATTATGCACGGAAGCCCAAGAATGCATGGTGATGGCCAGGTGGTTCGATTTGGTGTCACTTATGCTAACTTCAGCAGATGTCATATTATCAAAGGTCTCTGAGAAAGGTAAAATCTTATTGTGAATCTTTATGTACTCTTTTTTTCAGAAGTTAAATGGATAAAGAGGCTTAGAAATGCATGACTCTGTATTGTCACGCATTTACCATTTACTAGTTAATGCGAAGAACATGTTGTTGATGGTGCAGAGTTTTTTCCTGCAATCCTTATTGTCTGACTATTATATCAATGTTTACTGCAAGTTCTTTAGCAAATTACTTCAAAATAGTGCAAATGTTTTTGGTCAGTGAGTGGGATGCATATTATTGTAGGCATTGCTAATGTTCATTAAAATGTTTCATAATCATTGTCGGACAATATGGGCATTAGTAATCACTTCATTCAACGCACAATGATAATTAATTGCTAGCTTAACGGTATCACATTGTTTGTTTTCTTAATGTCTATGTTCGTCAAACTTTTGTCCACATACACAATAATTCCTGTTGTTTTCCTCTTCAGATCTTGAGTGCATATTCACTGTTATCTGCAATGTTGTTACAAAGTCTGAAAGTCCAGATGAAGCTCTCGAGATGGCAAAACTTATATCCGCAAAGATTACTCAGCAACCAAGTGATAAGCCTGCTTTGCGCTTAAAGATGTAAGATACCATTGTGATTGTGACCCCATCTTGCATGCTTTTGAATGTACTTCCGACACTTATACTTTTCTTTACAGCTTGTTCAATCTGTACAACCTACTGGAGAATCCATATAGCCGGTTCTTTGTCTACTTGAGTGCTCTAAATTTGGCAATCAATGGAAAGGTCACTGAACATGTCATCCCTTCATTCAAGAAGATAGAAAGTTTCTTGAAAGAGTGGAATATTGGGGTCTCGGACGAGAGGCAACTATTTCTTACCATCTCAAATGTTTTAAGAGAACACAAAAGGTATGCTATGTAGAAGTTGTAAACTTTTTTATGTGTACATGCCCCTGCTCAATCGGTTTTAGGAATAATTGATTACTTTTGTGTGTTGTATTTTCAGCTTGGCAAAGGAGTCTTTCAAATTCCTGAGCAAGTACTTAGCTACTTTTTCTGGTGAAGATGCATATATATTGAGTGAAGCCAAGGAGGAAGCTGTGCGCACAATTGTGGAATTTGTGAAGGCCCCTGACTTGTTTCAGGTATTGTAGGGTCTTGTGGAATTTCAAAGATTATGCATGCTAATTTAGTGGTCTACATTTCTCTTGATGCATGCTCATCCTTGTTTACTTGTGTTACATCCTTTACAAATATATGTTTCTTTCCTTTTAAAAAATCTCTTCTTATGAGGTAGATCCAGTTAATTGTGCAGAGACAATTTAGTAGTTTGAATTGGCTCGTATAAAGTAATTATTGATATTAAGGTTTTTCTTGCATTTTGAAGAAG